ATGCAATGGACTCGCCCCACCTGCCACCCCTCTAATGCAATGGACTCGCCCCACCTGTCAACCCTTCGTATGCAATGGGCTTGCCCCACCTGTCACCCCTTCTAATGCAATGGACACGCCCCACCTGTCACCCCTTCTAATGCAATGGGCTCCCCCCACCTGTCACCTCTTCAAATGCAATGGACTCACCCCACCTGTCACCCCTTCAAATGCAATGGGTTCGCCCCACCTGTCAACCCTTTAATGCAATGGGCTCGTCCCACCTAGTGGAATCGCCCCAGATAAGATGACATCCCTTTATTTGGAATGGAGTCGCCCAACTTGTATCAGATGACCGTGGCGTACTCATCAATCTTATCTGCTCCAGTCAAGTTTTCACTGCCAAACCTTTTCACTACTCCTGTGTTAGCTGAGCTTGTAAGCAATTTATTAGAATGAATTTTCTAAAATGAAGTTAAAACAATCCATTAATTCATCAGAAACACCAATCAACTATCAGGATTACTTGAAAACACCTTTTTAATAATTTTGATAAATCTTATTACATAATTGAAGTCTATTTTTATAGTTTATTTTTAAGCTTTTCATCATGTCGATCGTTAACTTTAGGTAGGTACCGACTGCCCGAGGGCTCTTAAGTCCCTCTAGTCACCGACTAACCCCAACGCCAATCTGTAATTAGCCACTAGGTGTAGTTAAGACAGCGTATGAGGCAGGCCTGATGCCCAACGTTATACCGAGAGCGTATGGCGCGACTGGTTGTTATACTGGTAAATATAGCCGACACATATCTTTTTATTTTTATAACATTGTTAGAACTTTTTAATACTAGATGTGATGGTTGATTAAAGTTGTGCAAATTGTAGTGGTGCAAAACATGAAATCCTTTGTTCATGTGTTTTTGCCAAAATTAACAAAAATGTATACATGTAATTTGTAAATTTCATCAAAATGTATATACGTTAATAGAATTTGCTGGCAACGTTTCTCGGATCAATGATGATGACAGTGGCAGTGCAGAACGTTAGAATGACGTTCTTTTAACACTTGTTGATGGTCTTACAAATATATAACCCCGTTATCAAAACGTTCTGTGTAAGCTGAGTATACGTTAAAACATTTATTAACATTAGACCTGATATCTATGAAACCAAAGCTGATTTTT